AGATAAATTGCTTACCTTATCCCTTCTCAGTTTGTCGCAAGCATGGTTACTACGACTTACCTTAGGCACAAAGTCTCTAGACCTAATTCTAATTCCGAAGTTCCTAAGTTTCCTCTCATGTATCCGCCTAATCATTCTATCCATGGCCTCTCCCAACCCATCAGGTGATATCAACCTACGAATGTCTTTTTCATTCATTTTCATACAAACTGTAGGTCTCCCCAACAATGTTATCTCAGGAAATTTATCGAAATACAGTTACTTTTCGTATCTACAAGTAACCAGTAGTGCTTAGATGGCCATCCTCGAGAGCATTTTCATACCATTTTGTTTCTATCCTATGCAAGTCCTGTCTGATTTGGCTCCTTCACCGACTTTACTCCCGACACAAAGTGCCCGGCTTTAACTGGCTCCAGGTCTCACTCAACATTTGGTACTTTTAGAATGGCTCCGATAGTACCAATCTCTTGTTCTTTGAAGGCTAGCGCCTGTTTTTGTACATTGTTCGTGCCTGGTTGCTTGGTTGGACGATTCCTAAGCGAGGCTCACTTGAAGCTCCTTCGTATTCAAGTATGGTCGCATTCATACACCGTTGCAAATCCACTTGCATGACTGCAAGACTTGACTTTTCTTGTCACAGAGTGACCTAAGGAGTGACTATTCGAAGCCCTAGAAGGGGCCTGGTTGATTCGTCCAATTCACATGTCCCTTTCAGGCCTACCCATTCTGGAGTAGCGTGTGTGTCTATTTTAAGAGTTATTAGTCTTTCGAGAATGTAATCTTCTTTCGGGTGGTTCAAGGCTTGTTCAGGCAAAGACGACTCCTTCAGCAAAGGAGGCCCAGTCACTCCGGCTCGCTTTGAGCTTTGAAAAGTCGTTTTGATGAAAGGAATTCTTTTACGCTTTCTTTATCTCTTGCTCCAACTACACTAGTTTGCGTTGTCTTTCCACACGGTTTCGTGTAATCCATAGGCGCTTTCTGATGGGGCCCAGCCCATTGGATGAGACCTCTTTGAAGAAGGCACATCGACTGAGTGAGCTCTTTTCCATTTGCTGCTCGCTCGCCACTTTTTGGGTGAACGATCCGCCTCATCATTTTGCCGAAATCGGCCGATTTGGATGGTTTTCTCGCCGCCCTTTGATTTGTCCTGCTTAGCAGCACTGCCTTTTCATGTGCCTTTTTCGTGCAGCCAAACTGTCCAACTCTGCTGGTACAGCTCTGGACGTCTTTGTGCTCTCCGGTTGTGCATTTCTGATGGCCGGTCTTCTCCATCTTTGCCTGTTTGTTCCAAACGAGTGCCTTATCTCCTCCGGCGAGGACGGAGGCAATCTAGAGCCTTCTTTTACGACCGACAACTTGGCCAAAGGAGGACTGTGCTGGACGCCTAGTCGCCGGCATAAATTGGGCGACACAGGTCGGGAGCGGGAAAAGGACGAATGGGATGGAGGATACACATAACCGGAGAGTTGTGAGTGGGAAATATTGAGGGAGCGAGGCAGGACTGGATTGGAGGCAGCCGAAGCAGGCTTTGTCACCTTTGAGCAGAACACATGAAGAGGCGCGAAGCAGACTACACAATCCACAGCATACAATATGCAACTAGCAATTCACAACAAAACACACCATACGCAGACAACAATCTACAGCATACACTTCACAACGCACATAACACAATCAACAACCTACAATACACAGCCCATAACCCTAAACACATCATTCTCAGCCCCCAATCCACATCATACAAAATATAGCCGGCAGATCATAAAACGCAGCAAATAACCCACAGCTCACAACACGATACGCACCCCATAACCCGCATTACACCACGCACAACCAATGACACTACCAAAAAGTCTACAAGTTCACAATACAAATGATGTCTGAGCTGCCTTTCACATGCCCATCGCATACTTCAGGCACACGACCTTCGGGAATGGACGATCAATCGGGCCTTGATGCCGATCCGCACATGTTACACCTCGACAACACATTCCGAAACAATTCCACTGCATTTGCCTCGTGCATGTTGGCTTCGCTTCCCTCGTCTGCTTTACCCTTTCAGACAGACCTGGTGAACTCATCTCTAGGCGGCATTGCCAGCGGGGATTTGTCCATTCAACCGGACCCTTGTGTATTCGTGTCCCGTGACTCAGCCAGAACCCATAAGCCCACTTGTTTGCGGGCAAGAAGCGCTGAAAGAAGACAATTGTCTGACGTTTTGATGAACAATTCCTAACACGAGGGGGGAAAAGCATTTTGGTGGAACAATCTTTTGTAAGCGTCAACCCTCAACTTTTATCCCTTCTTCCCTGTCCCTTTTCATAACCCGTGTATGTGCCCTCGGCTTCTTTCCTATCTTCCTTCGAGGCAACTTTGGGGGAAACCCGGAGATGATCTTTGAAGGACAGGAATTGCACCCTTTCGAAGGATACACATCTGAGTCCTGTCTTGTTCTGTCTTGTCTTGTCTTGTCTTGTCTTGTCTTGCTTGTCGGATTAACAAGGCATTTGCATAATCTTCTTAGTTTTTTCGCATCCTCCCTCGGCTCGCGTCTGTATGTCGTCCTTCGAAGTGGACAAGGAGGTCCGAAACCCACTCCAGAAGGACTCAAGTTTCGGCCACAGACAAGGCCTCGAGTAGCCTCACCGAAGCGCCGTAGGCTGGCTCCCGTCGAGGATCTCCGAGAAGATGCGACATTCGCGCGGCCATAATTGGCGGTGCGGACTTTGTACAAGCGACCAATAAATCGCAACCGGCAAATTCCTTGCCCTCGGGCCGCTTTCTCTGAGGCATGGTCATGCCAAGATTGTTTTCGGTGTCAGCTGGGACTTGCTTGACATTCTGAACTGACAAGACTCGTATGTGGTGGGAATTCTCCAGAAAGATCGGTATATTATTTATTTATACTCTACATCCATACACACACATACACACACACTTGTATATGAGTACAAATAAAGGAATAAATTTGCATCATGCATTTATATAATTGTATTATATCATATCAAGTTGCACGCATCGAGTCTCGACAGAGACGTAAATGATTGCTCTCGCTTTAGTGGGAATATTCTAAAAAGTATACTCCTTTTTAGCTCACGTCAATTTGGTTTGAAAGAGAGCTTCGTAGGCTGATCCCAGCAGAAGACGACAGCGGACCATCCT